TTTATTTATTCCTGAGACACCCAGAGAGAGAGGCAGAGACACAGGCAGAGGGAGAAGCAAGCTCCCTGCGGGGAGCCCGATGTGGGACTCGATCCCGGGACCCCGGGGTCATGGCCTGAGCCCCCCAGGGGCCCCTCCGCCTCTGTGGTTCTTTAGTGAAATATGCAAGGATCATTTACCCCGGAAAGTCCACCTTGACTAATCTATATTAAATCCTCGTCTTCAAGTGTTATCTGTCATTATTTCCTACCTGAAGTTTCTTTTTCAGAGGACCAGTCTATTTCCTCTCCTTGTCATGTTTGCCCACTTGATAGCATCAAAATATGTGTGTGTGTGAGCGTGTTGTCAGAGGACTGCTGCCAGATTACATAGTAGGATACAGATGAAATTACTAATTAACATGAAGCAGAGACTTTCTTCGGGCCAATATCAGAGGCATTTTTATTATTTATTTGTTTGTGTTAAATTTTTGACAGGCTCCGGGACTCACAAGGGGCTCGAACTCACAGCCCCGAGAGTCGCGTGCTCCACGGCCTATCCAGCCAGCCACCCCAATAATTCAAAATAGTTAATGATATTTTTAGTAGGAAATAAGCATCCAGATTTTTTGTTACTGTTTTTTTAAAAAGAACTTGAACAAAAAAAGAAAATGTAAAAAGAAAAAGCTAGACTAATCTACATCTTCTGTGTGATAGACTTTGATTTCCATTATCTGAATTTAAGAATAAAACACACACACACACACACACACACACATATTTGCACGTCTGTAGGTGCTCAAGGTAGGTCAAGATAGAATACGTTGAAATAGGAACATTTAAGAGTGCCTGAGGTTTCTCAGAATTTTGGTAGCAGGTCAAAAGGCCACTTCATGAAGCATATTTTTTCAGGACAAACTTTAGGGTAGCCTTAACAAAATTTAGTCATGTGTATTTGCTTGTACATCGCATGTACAATTCATTTCTGAAATTTCTCTTTGTTTTTCCACTATAAAACACTCACACCGAAACAGACCGGGCAAATACTTTTAAATTGAAAAAAAAAACAAGATATTAAAAGTGAAAGAAACTAAAATTCACAGAAGCCGGAAAAAAACATTCTATATTTCATTATTTTAATTGATTTAAAAACACGTAAGCACTTTGATAGATTCATTTTATATAGGATTTACTGGTTTTCAAAGTATATAATACAACAACAAAAAAGTGAACCTCGCTTCTTTTTTCTTGTTCATTGAAGCTATCACATCTCATCTATCAGACCTCTAAGTAGAATTTTTAAAGTGGGGTACTCTCTCACGCCCAAGGACTATGTAATTAGCATATGAATGTGTAACGGATTGTTTGAAGTAACAATTAAGGGAACAATACATAAAGGAATTGAAGAGAGCTACCAACACCTGGGAATCCTGTATTGAATAAAGCTTTCTTAATGTAAGTAATTAAAAACCAAGGACAAATGCTCATTGTGTAGTGATAAAGCCCTGCAAGGAAAGCTAAAATCTGCTGATACTTTGCTGTCATCTTTTAGACCGAATCCTTAAAACAAGAGCCTACTGTTTTATTTATTTCAATGGGTTATTTGTTAAGCGTAGGTTTTCATCTTCTGAAATCTTCCAAATCCATTTATGTGACAAAAATGTCTTACCTTTAAAAAATATTTCTATGTAAGACATGTAATAAATGACAATACATCTTTTCCTTCCGGCCAGTGCAAAATTTCAGAGGAAAATTTCAACTGACAGCCAGGTCAAAAACAGGTGTAATCAATTCTCTTTAATCTACTTGTCCAAATAATTTCTCCGGGTTAAATTCTAGGCCACTTGAATTTTTATTTTTGTGTTTCATTTTGTTTCTCTTGAAAGCATACATGCTATAGAGGTTCCTCCTTGGGCAAAGCACCTTAAGAGAGTAACCAAGAGGTCAAGGTCGTTAGGGATCCTTGATATTGGAGAAGGCTCCCTGGAGTAGAAGGCAGGAGCCATGCCTTGTTGCTTCCATTTTGCCACTTTCTTCTTCTAGAAACCATTTACATTTTGGCTGAGTAAATTACCTGATATCTAGGAATCATTTTTTTGTAGACTGTTAAAGTCTCAGTCAAATGACCTTTGGGGCCCTTTCTAACATCTAATTGTATATACTTAATGATCATGAAGAAACACTTGCTCCCAGAATTTAACCTGAAACAACTACCATTTTATGTTGACAACTGTATTTGAAAAATAAATTAGGAACCTAATAACCTAAGTAAAAAAAAAAAAGAAAGAAAAGAAAAAACAGGCATGAATATTAATAGTATTGTTCATGATGGACAAAAGGAAGAAACAACCCAAGTATCCATCAGTTGAAGAATGGATAAGGGGGGCACTTGATGGGATGAGCACTGGGTGTTATTCTGTATGTTGGCAAATTGAACACCAATAAAAAATAAATTTATTATTGAAAAAAAAGAATGGATAAATAAAATGTGGCATATCCGTTGTCAAAACAAAACAAAAATTTCACTGGATAAAGTTAAACAAGCAAGGGAGACTTTATTCAGGGTTGTTGCAACAAGGAGAGAAGCCAGAACCAAGTCCGAACTCAACTTGGATGAGGTAGAGGGGTACATTGTTTTGAGGGTGATGTTGAGCCCCAGTGGAACAGTAATGCATGATATTCGCAGGAGTCATAAGCCATTTGTTTGCTAATTGGTTTTGTCCAAAGGAAAAATAAACTGGGATCTTCATGACAGGACTGGTTTTTGCAACTCGGAGCAAGGCACGCCGCCAAAATTAAGCTTTTACCCTTTCACAGAAACTGGGAGATAAGGGTCCTGTTTCCTTTCAAAGAGATGGCTCCCGTGTCTTTGAGTGGTATATTCCTGGTTGTAAAACTGGCATGTGGCTTTCAAAAAAAAAAAAAAAAGACTTACATCTCAAAGGGCCAGAGAAGAATTTACAATGACAGGTTTTCTAAACTAAGTGCTCAGAAAAGGGGGACCAGGGGCATAGTCTGGAAGAAGCCTGTCCAAACTTTAACCGAGCTGAAGGAAACTTTCAAGACTATCTTGGTTACCGTACGGTAAGGTCCCATTAAGTGACCAGAAAGAAGGAAGTGGTGATGTAAGCTACAACACGGACGGACCTTGAAAAGAGTAGTTGTGCTGAATTTAAGAGGCCAGTCACAAAAGCCTATATTGCGTGATCCTGATGTATGAAATGTCTATAATGTCCAAATGTATAGAAACCAAGTGGATAGTGGTTGCCTAGACCCATGGGATTGGGGGTGGCTTGGAGGTGGCTTGGGGCTGCCAAAGATTGTGGAGTTTCTTATGGGGGTGATGGAGATGTTCTAAAATTGTGGAAATGATTGCAGAAGACTGTGAATATACTGAAAAGGATTAAATTGTATACTCTAATGGGTGCATTGTATGATGTATGTATTTTGTTTCAGTAAAGCTGTTATAAAAATAGATATGTGCTGTAATGTGCTATATAGACAATAGAATATTTGCCTATATTTCTGACCAAAGTTCTACAACAAAAACAAAATCTTTGTTTCTTAAAAGTAAGTTTTGGTTTTGAATAATCTATAGATTCAGAATATGTATTTCTGACAGCAGATCTGCTTTCTGGCTTTTATGAAACAGTTTAGCAGTTATTTATTACCATGCTGTACTAACCAGGGAATATATGACACAGACGAGAGGAAAATAATTTCCACAGTGTCCTTAGATATTTACATTCCTGAAATTGAGAATTGTCAATAAAGAGAAAACAACTGTGTAGCAAGAATAAGAATAGAATTTTTTCCCAAATGATGAAACATCATACCATACCATATTTAAATATATTTAATATATTATGTATTGTATTTAATATAATATATTAAATTATATGTATATTTAATATAATATATTATAATATATAATATATTTTAATATATAAAATGTATTTAACATATTTAATGTTTAATATATGTTTAAATACAGGTATGGTATGATCTAGTATAAAATCCTTGTATTCAAATGAAAGCCATATTGATAGAAACTCCATTTATGAATAAGTAATGTCCTCTGCGTTTATTTGTAAATTAGCTATTCTGCAGAATGCTTTGTCAAGAGTGACCAGGTTTTAAAGCTAGCTCACAAAGATTTATTTTGTCTACCATGTAGTTGAAATCGAATGTTAGTACAGCCTGGGGTAACAGACAGTGGCACAGAAAGGAGGTTGCGTTATCACATCCCAGTTTCTTTTGAGTGCAGGGGTGGCTCCTGGCAACATTTTGAATTATGCAGAGCGAGATTTTGGCTTCCATCCATTTTCCTTTCTATCTCACTTGCCCTCTGTTCTTGATCTAGAACCACTCTCTTGGGGTCATGAGGCATCTTCTTTTATGAGGCCTAAATCTCCCACTGCATTTCCTCTCTCGGAGATCTAGGTTCTTCTAAGAGACAAAGTCACCTACATAGTCTAACATAGCTTTTCTCCCAGCCAGCATATACACATTTGAATTCTCATTTCCTCGAGGTGACTAATTTCATTTTTTGGCAAAAAGGAAACAAATTTTGAAAACATGATAACCTCTGGGTATCCTAGGGTGCATAGATCAAACTTGTTTTGTAAACCTAGAAGTATCTCTAATCAACAGGATCTTAGATGTTTGACTTGAGGAATATTAAAAATTTGGAGATAGGACAAATTATTCTTTCTGACCCATCTTTTGGGGGGATGTACCCCTCTAGGCTTCTCCTGCTTTACCCCGAGTATTTGCTTTGTCCCTACCAGAACTTCAATTTTTTTTTTAATGTACCCCCTATACTTTAGATCAACTACTAGAACAGGAAAAACAGAGACTATATGATGGTGGCTGGCATTGAGGGGAATCTTGGGGAAGGTGACATGGGAAGGAGTATCTGAGGACTATCTGGGGTACGAATGATTTGGGCATCTGATATATTTTTAATTTGGTCACATATATTTTTCTACACATTGACCAATTGATTTTTCTTGGTTGTAGATTGGACTTATGGATACTACAGACAACAAAGAAAACTTGTTGAAGAGATTGGCTGGTCCTATACAGGTAAACATTTCATTATGTAATGAGATTCAACAGAAAATTTTTATTGTTTTTGTATCTATTTTTATATGGAAAGAAAACTTTGTAATTCAACGCATCATTTTTACTTAGCTCCATGGATATTCAGCTAGATTAATTAATAAAAATATATCATAGACAGAACGATTTCCATTAGCGAATTTGGTAGTGTAAGAGCATACTGGTATCAGACACCGCGGGATTTGAATCCCAAGTCAACACTGGCTGTACCTCCTTGGAAAATATACAGAACCTACCTGAGGCTTAGTTTTTTCACCTGTGAAATGGAGGATTGTTCAAAGTATTAAATGAGATCAATGAAGTTGGCACAGTGCATTCTTATAAATACAAAGCTTTCAATAAATGTTACTTGCCGTTACTATTATGACCACAGTAGTGATTGTTCATTCATTTAACAAACATTGATGGGATTCTTGCTCTCAGCAGGGCTTCCTTCTAAATTATTTTTGCTGAATCAATTGGAATGAGGGTCCAAAAAGACTTTTGTATGATTGTCAGAAGAGCACAAGTCAAATCTAGATGGCCCATGACAGGCCTGGTGACCATCAAAAACAGAGTTGGGTATTCCTTAGAAATAACATTGGGCTGATAAGACATGATTCTATTACAAGGGCTTTAACATGAGCCTAGCCAACTTGAACTTTATTTTACAGATGAAGGGCAGCAGCACAATGAATTTAGTAGATAGCCATGCATTTCTTTTCTTTCTTTTTTTATGCTTGTTTTAAAAGTAGTAAATATTGGGGTGCCTGGGTGGCTTAGTAGGTTCTATGTACAGCTCTTGATTTCTGCTCAGGTCTTGACCTCAAGGTTATGAGTTCAAGCTCTACACTGGGCACGGAGCCTACTTAAAAAAAAAAAAAAAGGTAGTAAATGTTTACTTTGGAAAATTTAGAAAATACATTCACTTTAAAAAAAAGTTATATTCCTTTGAGATCAATTTTTATTATGTTTGTATAGTTTATATAGAATTATGCATCCAATTTACTCTAGGAGTTATTTTGAACATTTCCTCATTTCAGTGATGATTCCTAATGATCATGGTACTTACGGTATGCCTAATATTCCATTGAATAAATGTTTTATTTTTGACTCTATATTCTCTCTATATATATTTTGACTCTATATATATATCTAAGCAACTATAAACAATGACAAATGGATGAATAGATATGATATGAACAGATATGTATCATTCGTATTTTTCATACGTATTATTTTTATTTTTATCATTTCTTTATTAGAGAATCCTTGATAGGCAGTTACTAAGCATAAAAAAAGTAAATGCTTCCAACATTCTTGATACTACGGTTTAATTGCATTCCAGAGAGATTACCCTATTTATAGTATAAGTCAGTGACTACCCCACTGGATACTAGACAGGATAATATGATAACAATAATATATATTATATATAAAAATTATATATGCTTTGTAACTTTATATCTGACAACTGTAATCCATGTTGTATTTCTCTTTCTCCAAAATAGAAATTCTAGTATTTGATAAAAGTTACAGCTAATTTTTGCCCCCCTAGTAATTATAAGAATCATGTTAGTGAAGGCTATGAATGCTTGGAGTTCTTCCTTAACCATGGAAGATGCTATCACAATGCTTAGCACCCTGGTTCTCCTGGAAATTATTTGCTGTTGTCATCATCTGGGCATTATTTATGCATCTTCCATTCTCCCCAAACCGAGACTTAGAAAATGGAGGACCTGTAGCCTGGAAAGAGAGGGTAGCAGTTCTTACTGCCCCAAGCAAAGACATATGCTTTTCAGCAGCTCTGGCTCCTTGAGCAGTTGGATTTGCCTCATCAAGTCAAGAAAAGACAGATTTACCATTGGTTTTATGCACATGCTGTTATGCATATCCTATTGTCTTATGAGGAGGCCACAGAGCTCTTCCATGTAATGAGCTAATTGTGTATGATGCTTATAGAGTGGTCAGGATTTCGTGATGGGTCGTGCATAAACGGTGCACAATTCTTTGCTTAAGAAGTTCATCATCCTGCTTATAACTTGAGGCCTATTGGCTTTAGGTCCTTTAGGAGACAGTCTAGTGATCAAGGGAGTGTAATAACACCAAATAACAAGTGTTATTTGGTGGGTTGGTGTTATTTGGTGGGGGGGGAGGAATGGTGGGTCTCAAGAGGAGATTTTCCAGAGTTGAGGTGAAGGTGGAGCTTATCAGAATTTTAAAGAATGGATTGCTCTACTTACATTGGTACTTCTCGTTGGGTTGGAAAATTATCTGTTCCTAGAATATTTGAGGATCCTAGGGAAGAGACTAGAAAGAGTTTCAGGTGAGGACATTTTACAGCTGCTTATCTCAAACAGAGTGTGGATGAATTGTTCTGTCTGAATTCTCAGAATGTCAAAAAGAAAAACAAATGAAAGCCATTATCCAAATGAGTACATCTCTTCCAAGTGGATTACATGAAAGCCACGCATTGAAGATGTAGATTCTTGGCCATAAACTTACTGCCTCTTTTTTATTTTTAATACAAATAGTTAAAGTTTGGTAGTATTTTCCCTTTCTATACTTATTCCATGTAGAAAATGAAAAACCATGTAACTGTATAGAATTTCAGGATAAATTAGTTTTAAGATTCTTAAATTTAAGTACTTTTATGAATGGTCCAAGTAGGTTTTTTTTTTTTTTTTAAGATTTTATTTATTTGGGGATCCCTGGGTGGCTCAGCAGTTTGGCGCCTGCCTTTGGCCCAGGGCGTGATCCTGGAGTCCCGGGATTGAGTCCCACGTCGGGCTCCTGGCATGGAGCCTGCTTCTCCCTCTGCCTGTGTCTCTGCGCCTCTCTCTCTCTCTCTCTCTCTCATAAGTAAGTAAGTAAGTAAGTAAGTAAATAAATAAATAAATAAATAAATAAATAAATAAATAAATTAAATCTTTAAAAAAATATTTTATTTATTCATGAGAGACAGAGAGAGAGAGAGAGAGAGGCAGAGACACAGGCAGAGGGAAAAGCAGGCTCCATGCAGGGGACCTGACATGGGACTCGATCCCGGGACCCAGGATCACACCCTGGGCTGAAGGTGGCGCTAACCCGCTGAGCCATCCGGGCTGCCCAGTAGGTTGGTTTCGACCACATCTTAGTCCTAGTTTCACACATAACAGCTTATCTTGTTGAGCTCTGTGTTTCTGTTCCTTCCGGTATTATTATCACTTAAATGTGTCAGATTAGCTACAATCTCAGAAGGAAGGACTTGCCCTTGAATATTTGTACATATGGAATTCTGTTAACAACAGTTACTAAGAAAATCATAACATCTCTCTGTAAAAGAGCTTTACCATAAGCCATTTAAAAACATACAGCAGATAGTGGATGTTATTGAAATGGAACCATTAGGACTAAGATTGTTTGTGAAGGATTGCACAATCATGTGAAGAAACAATGCAGATCTGTCCTATCAGCAGGTGGGGAAACAGGGTGGGAGGGGAGGAGAAAGTATTACTCTTTCAGTTGTGTTTTTTTACATAGGTTGAAAACAACTTCTCTATTTGGGATGTATGCTATAATTATGCTGGGAAATGAAAGGGTTGGTAAATACAGCCGACAATCCCATTCTTAAAGTTATTACAGGAAGGTGAGCAAGGTTTGTTTGTCACGCTGCTATAAAAGAGTGAATTATAAATCTGGGAATGTCAGCACTAAAATCTAGTTCTTTCCATAGTAACTACATTTAAGGATTTCAGAAAATGGATTTCCTTCTTCCTATTAACCTTAAATTTTCGATGACAATGCCTAAAAAAAAGACAGTTCAGTGAAAAGAAAAATGAGTCATTTGGTGTGGGTTTTTTTTTTTTTTGAGATCATGAACACATAACCCACAATTATGTGAGATGTTAAAATTTTCCTTCTGTTTGTGAACAAACTGATGATTGCTGGAGAGGGGAGTGGTAGGAGGATGAGCAAAATGGGGGGAGGGGAGTGGGAGACACAGGCCTCTGGTTATGGATGAGTAAGGCACAGGGATAACAGATAGAGCAAGAGGATATAGTCAGTGGTTTGTAAGAGCGTCATATGGTAATGGACGGTCGCCACCCTTGCGGTGAACACAGTGTAACATACCCAGTTACTGGATCACTGTGTCGTGCATCTGAAGCTATGTCTGTGTGTCTGTCAGCTATACTCCAAGACGACACGTTTTCCTTCCGTTGGGTTGTTAGACATTTGTAATTTCAAGCAATAAGATCATCAGAAATGGATGAACTATTACTGCGTCGCCCTAGAAGTAGTCCCTATTGAAATACGGCCTTTATTTCCTGGACTTTAAAAACTACTCTTGTTTCCTTTCCATCATACTTTAAAGCAACTTGAAATTGAAAATCTTATACCGATATATCCTAAATGTTCCTAAACCTACAGGCGCTTTTAAGCTTTAGCTGAAGGAGGTGCATTGGGTAAAAGTAAGAACGGAAACACAGGAGTCAATATTAGACGCTTGGCTGAATATACCAAAATGAAGGAGGGCTTTAAACACTGAATTTATTGTTTCCTTAAATAGAACATTTAGTCTGAGTGGTATTTCCATTCCAAGAGATATATAGACTAGAAGATACTATTATGGAAAACAAAAGGGCCATAATATAAGGTGGTGTACAATGTGGTTAGATGTTTGGCATTTATTTTTGGATACAGTTAGGTGTCGTGTTTTACTTCTCTTAACCTAGAAGAAAGTAGGCCACACGTAACTTGAAGAAGAATTTTTTTGAATCCGTGTCTCGTAATGGCTGATTTCTGACTTGTCCAGGCCTTTCTTTACTTCTAGAATCCGAAATACCTTTTTAACATACTATATTTTCGTCTTTGATCTATCACTCCTTATAGTAAACAGACTGTTCATGTCTCATTTCCAACTTAGGAATGCAAAAGCAAGTTCCAGAACTCTATGCAGAGCATTATATCATCTTTGTAAAAAACACTACATGTGTATATAGGCA